TAGTCACTCAAAAATGTAGAACAGCATCAGACTAAGCAGTATGGGGTGTTGACAGAATGATGAAGAATACACAAAGATGCAAATAAAAGTATGAAAAGAAGAGCTAAGTAAGCTAGAGAATATGGCCTGAAACTAAGAATATGTTGATGCTGACGTCCCAGAAATCACACAGAGCCATCCAAGTGGCTATTAGCCAAGGCATCAACGCCAGTCTAACTTTGGTAGCTCACTGCTTGGCTGGATTTACCCAGCTGCCTAGTACTACTTTACTCAATACCTGACCTAGATAACATCAAGCTATCTTGGATAATATCTATCTTACTCTTAACGTATTGCTCTTCTGCTTTCTAAGTATGATTCTACGCTCTTTTTTTTTCTGATTTTTTAAAGTGGTTGAATTTTTTGGAAATGTCTTTTTCTTCTTCAGCTGTGAATGCAGGTCCATGCTTTTCCAAATTTAATAGTCAGATAAAAAGTGGAGGGAGAATTATTTAATGAACTTTTTCAACTTTCTCGTCTTTGTTTTGGCCTAGCTGTTTCATCTGAAGTCTAACAGATCAGGATTTGTAAGTGTTTACAGATATGAAACTTCACTTTTCTTCCTATCACTTATCTTTTTTCACATAAAATCTGCAGCAACTGCCTACTTATTTTACATCGTAACACGAACTGTGGACATGAACACATTCGCATAGCAGAATCAAAGATCATATCTCAAGGATTAGCATTGTAATAGACATAAAGATAAAAGGAAATCAGAAATGCTAGAATTCAAATAAAATACCTCTTCATAATTTCATAATTTTTCTTCAGAATTTTTCTGAAAAGAAAAGTATTTAGCTTTTTATGGAGTGTTGATGTCTCAGAGGTGATCTCTCCCAACAGATGGAAATACAGCTGAATAGTAGGAGACCACAATATGAGAGACAATCAGGAAATAGACAGTCTGGACACAATGTTATCTCAGAGAAGTGGAAAATGTATATATATAAAAAGGGGAGGTAGAAGTCTGAGCTGTCAACAGTAGGGAAAGGGTTGAGAAGATAATTTAAAACATCCTGAGTGGAAAATGTAAGTTACCAATCCAGAGGGGAGAAAAGGATAATGACCTTTGAGTAAAAATAGAAGCATGTAATTAAGGAGACACTTACTGTACCAGGTCTGGGATACGGGATACGACCTTCGTACTGTACCCAGCGATGATCTGCACTCTCTTTATGAGCATAAGGGCCATTGAAAACGGCTCTGATGTCTGCCATGCTGTACACACAAACCGCAGAGCCCTTGAAGACAGAGCTGAAAAGAGAAGGCAGATTGATATGCATGTTGCAGGAGCATGTTAATAAGCATATCCTCAGCGCCCGGCTCATCCTCTCGATCAGTTAATTCCATCGGGTCTGATGGGCTCTGCATCAAGTCCTGCACCTGAGAGTTGTCGTAAATGGTGCTAAATAACAGACAATGTATACTGGTCTGATAACTTCAGGTACTCTATGTCGCTGTCATTGCAGTTTAAAGCTTTGCTCACTTGCACCTGCTAGCCGCTAGCCTTTGGGATCACTTGATAGACTATCATTTTTCCTAGCGGCAGACTGGCTCCAGATGTCATTTACTGACCATTATGATTAGGATTTTCTGCAGCTGAAGGACATTCCTTTACATTGTTTTCACTTCTGGAAGTCTGCATTTGAATGATTCTATTGGTAAACTAGGCTTAGAATTGCAGGTACACAGAACAGAATTAAAAGAAGAGATAGGGAAGAATAAAAGTTCTATGTCTTTTTCTAACAAAAATAGTTCAGTTCTTTAATGAAAATGGCATCAGGTTGCAGGGAAATATGTATTTTAGTTACTTCATAGGCCATTTCAGGCAACATTTCATTCAATTCTAAATATTTCATGTGGTTATACGTTCTATGGAGCCATTCCAGTGGCTGCTTCTCACTTAAGGAACGTCTTGTTAATTTTTCACTGTGCTTGCACTGTTCAGTGTATGACTAGTCCTTACTAATTACATTAAAATCAAAGGTTCTGGAGACAAAAGAAATAATTATTAATTTTCTGTCTGACAGTTCTGTATAGCATGACTCACTATCATAACTGAGATATTCATTAATTAATCTATCCCTGTGAGATAAAGATGAGTTATTCTTCCATCAAATCTTCCTATAAAAATGGTGATGCTTTATGAATTTTTTATTACCAAAAATGGCATCTTGATATGTTGCTTTAAAGTACAATTCTTTTTGATCTCAGGATAGAGCTAATGCCAAGCTATTGCTTATAGAAATGATGATGTTTGATGACAATAAACTTTCTTAAATAGTGACTATTAAGTACTTAATAAATAGGGTTGTAATCTGTATATTCAACTAGATTAGATTGAATTAAATCAGTATGTTTTTGCTTATTTTTAAATTTGCATGCTATCTTTCTCAAAAATTAGACACACAAAGGTTTAGGGACATAAATTTATACTCCCATTTCTGAAGATAATGGCCACAGCCATTAGAGTCCCAGTACTGCAAACCTTACTCAGGCAGTCTCCCACTGCTCCCAAGAATCCGGGTCTGGTGATGTCAGGGTTTTATAAAAGTTCCGACTAAAACCTTCAGGACTGGCTTGGAGGTGCAAATATGGTCTTAGCACATACCTTGTTGTAGTGAAGACTCCATATACAAGAGGGTTTCTCTCATCTCTTGTAGAAAGTAAGAATATATCTCCTGCAATGGGAAAAGGGTTTTTTAATTAAATATCCATTGAACATTTCTGTATTTACTATTTATAATTTGGAGATTTGAAAATACATAATTAAGCTTTATTTTTGAGTTTTAATTTGTTCCATGTGAATTCATGCTAATATTCTTAGGTCTCTCCATTTGCAGATAGACTTTTTTCTATACAGAAGCACCTGCTCATTTTCCAGGTAGGGGAGAGAAAGCAAAACAAACAAACAAACAAGCGAAAGTTCTGAACAGAATAATTCCAGTTACAATCAGGGACCTCTGATAAAAGCCAGTGATATTGCCAGCAATGGAAAAACAGTGAAATCTGAATGAGACATGGTTCTTCTACAAAGCAGAAACAAACAAGCAACGCTGATGACAAAACAAGCCATCAAAGATAACTCAACTTACGCAATTCATCAAAATGTGTGTCGGCTCCCTCAGGACCAGGTATCGAGCACACAAGCCTAGCTTTCAGAAAAGTAGTCCACTTGTTTATTAGGCTCCGTTGACCTCCCATATCATTCTAGTAAAAATAAAATAAAAATTAAATGTAAGTAACTAAAACATCAAATGGATATGAGCAGTTTTAACATGAACATCTATGATATGTGGTGATAGTATAGCACTGACCGTATTTCTTCTGTCTGATTCCGCGGTCTGATCTTTACCATAACTGTGATTTTTTTGGGTCTTTGTTTTTTCAAATCCGGGACAAACTTCTTGTAAGTAGCTCCAGAGGTTACTTTCAGCTCAGAGAATGAGCAAATAAAATTTCCTAATTATATCCAAATCTGTTTGTAATATTCTCTAAACAGCTCCACAGCTGGAATGCCCCAAAACATATATCTATGTATGTCACGTGATTTCTTGTTCCCTGTAATGCTATTTTTTGCAATCAGTGGTTCTTCAAGAATTGTTTACAAACTCAATAATAGTACAGAACATTTTGGATAGATTTCTCAAAAATGAAAAACCATATTCACCAACAGTTCCAGAGATGTAAATACTGCACTGTTTGTTTTACATATGTATCACACATATCACAGAGGTATGCACTCCAGGGAAAACCAGTCATATTATTTTAATAACCATTGTTATGGAAATATCATTCTATCCTCCACAAAAGAGAGATCTTCTTCCCTCCATCTGACTTACTTCCTGAGTAAGACTTCCTATCCTACTACCTACTGTCCTTCCAAGATATTAGGACACCTGTCCAGATTCTCTGTAAGTCAACAGAGGAACACCACTGGAAATCTGAATTACCCTTCTGCAAGGTAGGTGTCCTTCTACTAACTATGCGCTTCAGTTAGGTGCCTAAAGGTAGGTGGAAGGAAGACAGGACTTGCTAATTCCATCTAACTGCATTTAAGAAATTACATTATTTCTAAAATGACTGGAGATTTTCAAAAATGTTCCTTTGAAGGAAATACAATACTATGACAGAAGTGTTTCAAAATATTGAATCTTATAACAAGGAGTATGTCAAGGATGGTAGTAATCAACTGTGTGGATCCTAGAAGGAAATTTTACATTTTAAAAAGCAGGAACTAGGAGTCTGCTTAGGAATGTATTTCCTTCTACTGAGCATATGAGCAACCTAATGATTTTATGTGTTCCCTTTGGTCTCAAATCACAGACATATTTCAGTTCCACAGAGCTATTTAGGCACCAAATTTTACGTATTGATATCTGCAAGGACAATGATGCTCAAGCAGGAACCAAGAATTCAAATACGTAAGAGAAATGCTCTGTTCACCAACAGAGGTCTGTAGAGTCTGTATTACCCACGAAGGTGTCTACCTCACTTCTTTTACAGATTATGAAACTTAAGGGGTCTGTGCTCTGAAGTTAGGCACAGCAAATGTGGTCATAAACAGTCATCCCCTCTAGACTCATTAGAACAAAGCATACTTAAAAAAAAAAGAAGAAAAAAAAAAAGATTTTGTAAAGGTCAATTGACTCTGAAAGTCTAGAACCAGGCAACAGGAAACACTGGGTAGAGGGGCTTAAGTGGCATTTCCATGGATTATATTTGACCCTTCAGGGCCGTATCATAAATATTACAAACATTCAGAAAGAAGTTCTTAAGTGCTGAAATTCACTTCACGAGTAGCAGCAATTCTCTGGTAATGCACTCTGACTTCCCTTTTCATGTATTTGTTACTTTTAAATAGTCTAGCTCAGTTGGAAATGATTTTTTGTTAATATATCGCCTTTGGAACTCCTGTTCTTACAAGAATTGCTACCTCCCCTCTTGATTTCCTGAAGTCCTGCCAAGCCTGAAGCTTTGCATCTAGCCAACAGATGTATTACAAAGGTGTCAAAATTAGCAGCCTTAAGTCAGCTGTGCATGTGTGTATTCTGTTCAAAGGCATGGCAGATAAACTTTGTGGCATAATTAAAACCAAACAATTACAAAGATACGACAAAGGATCTTAAAAAGAAAGAGGAAAAAAAAAGTGTTAAGCTTTTCCTTCCTCTGGCAATCCAGATTAGCTAAACAATTCTTGTGTTGCAGTGCTTCAGCTTAGGTTTCTGGTGGATGCTGTGCAGTATCACGTGACTCTGAGATGTGCGGAACCGCCTGGCTAGGATCAGAAAGGCAGGAGGCAGCAAGAGGTGCTGGGGTTGGAATGGTGAAAAACAGCATTGTCTAGCTCCTGCTCCTGTCATCTCAGACACTGAGCTTCTGCAAGAGACTGGAAAATCCGTACTTGTGTTTTACACCCTTAAGCTGTGAACCAACAGAGTATTTTCGCAAATGTTTATTTTAAACATATCAATAGCTCCGCTGAGTGAGAGAGGCTACTAAACAGTAGTGCAAACCAAACATTTTGCTGGAAGGAAGCAGTCTTAGCAAGTGCTATGTATTTTGAAGTATAAGATTCCCTTGGATTTAAGATATATCCATATTTCCTCACGTTCAAGCCAAGACATGATGTTAACCATGTTACTTGAATTTAAGAGACATTGGAGACATTTAGCAAGTGTGCCCTATGTTTGAAGTATATACCTAAATGTTGCCAGTAACACTGTACCGATTATAAGGGAACAAGGAGAATTCAATGATCAGCCAGTACTCCAAACCAAGTCCTTCAGCAGCCAGAGACTGAAAAATTCATGGTGAAACATTTATCTGAGATAGAACAGAGCCTTCACTGGTTTACACCGTTCTACATATAATTTGCTGACATACCCTTCAACATGCTTCTACTAAAGTGTACCTTTCATTAGGATTTTTATTTTTTATTTGATTAGGAGCCATATAATACTTTCAGCTCCCTTCTACCATCTCTGAATAAAGCTGCATCTTTGTGTGCCTAATGATTCACTGACTGTGAAAGTGCAAGAACTGGTGACGACTGCTGCAGCTTTATCTTCAAGGTGGACTTAGCTCAGCTCAGAGCAAGGAGGCTCAAAAAACACCAGCAATTCAGGCACGTCTGTACTCCTGGATTATCAAGTAGCAGCTGTCTTATAAAGCTCCGTGCCATGAAGGAAGGGCACTATTTCATTGGTATATATTAGGTTAGTCTTTGAGACTTGTCTTGAAGCTTCAGCTGCTGGAAAACATGCAGTTATCTGCCTTTTCTTCAGACTGTGTTGGTATGAACTCATTAGCCTTACATCCTATCTGCCAACGTTGATATAGGTTCCTCAAGTCATCGTATTTCATCATTATTGGCCTCTGAAAGGTTGGGTAAAGGTGATATTGGCCCAACACCTGTTTGAGACAGGGTTGGTACACAAAGAAAACAATCTTTTCTATGGAAATGTTGATTTAATAAAGTCAGTCCACAATGAATCACTGTCATGCTGCGAAGCTGGATGCAGATCATTACATTAATGTAATGAGATATACAGGCTGAGCAATCAGTGGATTAAAAAAAAAAGGTTGAATAAGAAAGCAAAGAAACGGATAGGAGAGGAAAAATCACCAAAGGAGAGGACAACCAGTGCATAGGTGAACGGAAGGGAGGAGTTAACGCAAAGTGATAGAATCCTGAAATCACTGTTTGACTGATTTACACTGACCGAGGACCGGGCTCAGCGACGCTGAAGGCTTGTGGTGTTCTGGATACACTGAAATGGTTCTGACCAGGACATATCAGAACTGAAGACAAAGAACAGTCGGTATTTCAGTGAGATGAGACAAGATGACAAGATAAATTTAAGTGCTGAGAGAAGGGAAAGGCAGAATGAACAAACCTTTCATTCCAAAAATATGGCTAATCTACTTGTAACAGTCGAGCAGTCACAAGTATCTGAAATCTTATCTCACAAAATATCACTTCTAAGCACACTGGATTAACAGTGTTTACTGTAAACTTTGTTAGATTACAGATGAAGGCACTTAAGACTGCATATTTCTTTTTGAATATAAATAAAGGTTTAATTAGCACTTACTGCTTTGCAGTCTCACAAGCTGCAACAGATACCAACACTTCCACCTGAAATACCTTCTTTATAATAGAAAGAAGTGCCTGTAAAAACTCTGTTACTTGTATTTGTCTGACTTAGAGATTTAGGTAAATTGTCAGCTAGAGGGCAGACAGTTCAATGTGTCATGTGTAGAGAAAATACTATAAAAAAAAAACCCTAAACACAGAAATTATCTACATAATTGGGAAGTAATTCATTATGATATTAATACACATAAAATAGAAATAAATGAAATATTTTTAATCAAAAATAAGGACTTTTATACTATAGAAAACCTCAAAACTTCAGCCTTTTGCTATGATTTGGTTCTAAAAAATAATTAGAGTTGGAGTGAAAAACCAGGTTTCTACCAAGCTAGAGTAAGAATTCAAATATTTGATGCACAACTGAGATGAGAATAGGTTCACATGTAAATATATGGCTTTCTGAAAGTACTAAAGAATGCCGATTAAATGCTACAATGTAACATTTGTGAAGTAAATTAAGGTCATGTCATATATTTTTCTTGGGAAAGTTCTACGCATATCTACAATTTATATAGAGCAGAACAAAATAAATACGATTTTCAAACCCTTTGGTTAAGATGTCAGTGTTTGTTTTCACAAAAAAAAACTGATATCAAAGAAAAAAGAGCTAAGAACAAGGGATTTAAAAATCAAGTTATATTAAAGACTTTCTGCTGTATCAATTTTTTATTCTGCTGTATCTTCTACATGATATCAAGTTAATTTCATCAAAATGCACAAATGTAAGTCTTAGAATTCACTAGGCAACAAAACAGATGGCAACAAAGCTAAAGAACATCTGCATCTTAGGGGTTCTAAATCTTTTGTTTGTAAGTAAGTAATAGTGACACATGGAGCATTAGAACAGAAAGTGCAGGTTTTTTGAAAATCAATCAACATCAAAGATGTCAAACTCTGTGATTCATAAAACTTTTAAAATAGTAATTATCTTGAACAGCCACTTAAATCAAAAAAGATAATGAGTGGAATTTCTGGAAGCAGGTTATTAATTAGAGCCAGTGGCAAGATGTGCAAAAGGATCCTCCAAACTGAATTCCTGACCTGAACAAAA